ATGCTGCACTTATCAGGCCAGTTAGACAGACAAGTGACTTCCTTATCGTGGTTTTTCGGTTTTCTGACTGGGTTACAAATCGACTGCATCTTAGGTCATTCGTGAGCACGCAGATAGATACTCGTAGGTTTAAAGGCGCAATATATACATTGTATATGTTGATGGGTGCTTCCTTGTCAGTAGTAGTGGCGGACGGTTCGGTAAGTCTGATGATAGTTGACAACCATGAAGCGGCGACTGGGGTCTGGCAGGTAGAAGAAAGGCCGCGGGTTAAACTGGTTTTCGAGGGCACTTGATGAGGGCTGGAATGGAATGGGGAAAATGCCGACAAAAGTTGAAGAGTGGTCGATGTTCGTTAACCCCTCATGGTTGCGTGGTCGGTAATATCAAGGTGGCCTTTCTCGATGAAGTGCATAAAGGCCTGCCCTTGGCTGACATGGACAAGCTGCATTGCATGGCGGCGGTTGATGTGGATTAAGAGCTGGAGGAGGGGGTCGGAAGAGAGCAGACAAGAGGTGCAGCTGGAGCTCGGGGCAAGACGGAGCGCAAAACGAACTGAAAGAGGCGGGCCTTAGGTAAGGTACGAATGCATGTTGAAGGTCTAAGTGCATTGCATCTGCATCCAGGATGCATTTCTTGGTGCGCGGCTGTGCATTTAGTCCCTGGGGAAGGGATGCAGGAAGTAAGAGGCAGGACAGCATCCGAGCTAAAATGGATAGTGCAGCACAGATTAGGAAATCTCGAGACGGATGCCTGGAAAGTGCTTTCTACGGTTACCACTACCACGCACGTATGGCATTTGCCATAGTGGATAGAAGGTATGGGAGAAAGACGCTATTTTACTCCGTAGAGTGGGGACCTGCCCTTGCCATTTGTCGATAGGAAATATTTTTCTCGGCCGGGAAGGAAGAAAGGAAAAGAAAAGGGAAAGAAGGAAAGAAGAAAGAAGGAGAGCAAGAAGATAGTCAAATGTGGAGGCCAGGAAGGAAGGATGGAACGAAGGTGAAATTGTGAAGTATAACGGGCAAGGACTTCCTTGAGCAGTTAGATGCAGCTGCCCTTCCTCCCCTCAAGTTTAGGTAGGGAAGGGAAGAAGGAACGGAGCTCTCGCTTTCTGCTGCTCTCCTCCCTCGCCTTCCACCGTCCACCCCACATTAGACAATGACGCACCTCGTCCTTGCCTCTGTACAAACCGCCCCGTGCTCGGTTGAGCCAAGATGCGATGGGACGAATAGGCAACATAAGCACGGTCAACATGGGCGTGGGATGGAACGGCAAGCCTCGAGTGCTGGGTGTGGATTTCTATCCTCCGGGACGAACCACGAGGTGAGGCATTCCACCGTGTCTAAAGCCCCTGCCGTTTCCCTCGCCCTGCCCTGTACCTGCACCTACCTACTACTAGTGTAGTACACCTGCACCTGCAGCTGTTCAGACGCGGAGCAAAAAAGAGAAACAGAAACATCAGGAGCGCGCTAAAACATCAATCCTCGGCACCCACTGCGACCCGAAATCCACTTCTTCTCCTGTCAAAAGGCTCGAGAGCACCAGCTCTGGAGCTGAGAGGTCGATGAACCTTTCGAGAGCCCACAAACCTGTCCACTCTGAACCCACCGCAACCCATGGTTGGAGGCACTTACCACATGGGACGGGTGAGAACTGGTCCACCGCCCCATGCAGGAGCAGTGCTCGTGCGCTGCAGCATTCTGGATAGACGGCAGCCTGACTCGCTAGAATCAGGTGGGCCACCGTCTCCTCTCGTCTCGTCCTCCCAAGCTCAAGCTAATTAGCTCCTCTCCCTCTAGGTCCATTCCTCTTGGCTTGACTGAGCATTGGGCCCAATTGGCCGCTATCCCTACCGATTGCAGTGCGAAGACATGATGCTGTCCTATAGTGCAGCACACTACAGCCTACACTACCACCATACAACGAGACGGCCACAGCGCCCCCAAAAGCACTAACTATCACAGTGGACGCCTTCCCCAAGCTTCCTCGTTCAGTCACTAGCTCAGCAGCTGAGAACAATGACACAGCTTCTTTCTGCTCGCCAGCAGGGTGTGCGTGACTAAATAGCACCCTAATGCTTCTACTACTTCTACTACTGCCTGCCATCTCCATTTCCGCCCTTCCGTTTCAGAGTGGGCTACAGCAGAACCCAAGCGATCCAGCCTACAGATAAAACGGATACACGAAAGCACCTCATCGATTGGACCTTCCCCAAACATACCAACACCCGTCTAAGCGGGATGAGACTTGCCCGATCAAATGCTGTCAAATGAGGTGAGGTAAGGGTGTCGGTGCTGGTGCTGGTGCTGGTACCGGTACCCGTACTGTCTGGTTGGAACCCAATGTATCACCCACCGGCCCGTCCATTGGATGCTCACCAGGGGATATGGGATATCATTTCATCTTGGCTTAACTTTCCGACATAAGGCTAGGGCTGTGGGCCATTTCGGGAAAGAGAGTAGAAAGAGGAACGGAGGGGTAAGATAGCAAGTAGATGGGGATGGCTCCCCGACCATCACAATCATCTTCTGCTTCATTATCATCATCATCATTGTCATACTACTATCTCCGGCACCGAAAGACGCTAAAGCATCACTTGCTCCACAAACCTCTCGTGGCTCGCCGACTTCTACCTCATGTTGCTTGTTACGTTGTGCCGATCCAGAGTAGTCCACGCTCTGTCTTCTGCCCTCTGCCCTGAATAGCTTGGGTTCATTGACGACGTTGAAGCTACTTTGCAAGCGTCCGACAGTAGCGTCAGCCTCTCCGTTATTTCGAGACAATCCAGGATCCAAGCTGTGAGACATTTCCACCTCCAATTCCTCCAACTCTTGCTAGCTTCCTCCTCCTTGCCCTTCATCTTCCCCTTCCCTTTCTCTTCCTCGTTCGGATCGTCGCTGTGCCTCTAGATTCTGAAGAAAGAGGGGGGAAAGGCCATCCTTCTGCTTGGCCGTCTCTGATCACAGACCAAACATCTATTGGGGTTCTTACATGCCCGCCCTAGCATCTTGTCGTCAGCAACGAGCATTTTCTTCCCCTCTTCGTCTATTTCAACCAACCCCCAAGCCTGCCGTCAGCATCAGTCACTGCCTGACGCATCGCATCGCATCGCATCCGTCACGTACGCGTACCTACATGCATTGCGTGCATCACACCTATTCTCTCCTGCCGCCACATCTCACATCTCGCCTCTCTGTAGTTCCGACTCATTGTTTGCGGTGTCGGGGTCTTCCGTCAAACAACCATCATACTGTCCTTGCTTGACCCCCTTGTCACGGTATGTCACCCAGTGGCTGTGTCTTTCGTACCCGTACGCAGCCACCAACAACAATCACAACACCACCACCACCTATCAACTCGAGGTCCTTTCTTCCTCTATGCCACGGTCCTCTCGGCTCACCTTGCTTGCTTCCAAAGCCCAAACTTTCCTTGCGTCATGTTGGCCCCGGCTCACCTTTCTTCTCCTTAATGCTGCTGACCTCATGTCACTTGGTTTACTGTTACCACTTGCCCCCAGTTGCTTTTTCCTTTGTGTCTATTTTCGTTGACCAATATAATCGCGCCCGGCAGCCGGCAAACGGAAATAACCTTAGCTGACCTGTAGTAAGGTATCGGATTCAGATCGACTTCTGTTTGTCTTACCCCAGGCCTTCAGGACTACAGCCACGGACAAGCCAACCGACCAACCGCTTTTCGCCATCTTCCTGGCTGTTTCCCGGGATCGCCAGTTGTTTACAGGACATCACCGCACCATTGGCATCACTGGTAACGCATAGCACAGGGACCAAGACGCAGTGGCAGAAAAAAATGACGGCTGCATCTGACAATCACTGACCTCCCTTGCCTTATGATACCCGCACCCTCCTGAATCCTTCTTTCAGCTGCGTTTCTCTTGCATTATCCTCTTGGCCCATATTCGCCGACGATTATTCGCCTCCTCTAGCCCCTCCAGCTCCCGTCCCCCTGGACCTGGAGCAGTACGTACTTGGCCAAGGCCACAAGTCGTCAAGTACAGACAACCTGCTAAGGCAAAACACTTCACCTGCGGCAACCCCAACCTCACCGGTGCCGCTGTCGCTATCGACATCCCCAAGCAGACGCCTGTACGGTCGAGCTCTTCCTCTCTTACTCCCGCTCTCTCATTCTCACACGCTCTCTATCCGTATCTCACCTACCCAGCCCGATCTAGCGCCTTCTGGCCGCGAGGCCCTTGCAGACAAGCCAAACTTGCTTGCACCAACGGACCTACCGCTAGTAAGCTTTCTATTGGGCAGAGCCTCGTTGGACACGCTCTTTTTTTCTTGCCCATTTCTCTATTCTTCTTTTTCTGCTTCCACCCGACTTGGACTTAACCCCCTCTCACCCCCGTGCATCTGCATCTGCATTTGCATTTTGCTCGTCCCCCGTTCCCCGTCAACCCCCCCTACTCCCCTCCTTCGTCCCCACTCTTCCAATCAATTCGGACGGGCCAGACCCAGAGCTCCCTGACCCAAGCCCCCGTCCTTCAAACTTCGACCCTCTGCGCTTCAACTACAATTGCATTGGGGGCCCCCCGCCCTCCTCCCTCGTCCACTTTGGGCACCTTGTTGCGTTTCCCATCTGCCACTGTTGCTGCTGCTGCTGTGGTCCGTAAATCGCCCTCGCCCAATCCAGAGAGATTTGCACGGCAATTCCATTCGCAGCCCTCCAGTTCATGACCGGCTTGTTTCTCGGTTTCCTTCGGAACTCAACATCACTCCGTCAGGTATTCGTCTTCGGATCTTCTGCCCGCATTTAATCCCACATTTGCGAACCTTCTGCCGCATGACACGCGAATAACAAAACTCACCATAAGCCTAGCGGTCCTTTCTCAACGGAGATCGACCAGCTGTAAAACCACCAACCACCAACAAAATCGCTTCGGCATTTAGAGTCCTTTCGACTAAGGGTTGCTTACTGTTTTCACATCCCCCAGAATTAGACACTGCTCCGAGGCAGTAGTCACCAACGGATCAAACATGTCACGCCATAACAGGCATTATCAATCATGGTACGCTTCCTGTTGCCTCTGGGTCTTTTGTAAGCTGAGGGATGCGAGCTGACCATATCTCTAGTCGTGAGCTCCATGTTGTTGTTCTGGGTGCTGGTAAGTTTCTGCCAAGAAAGCCATCGTCACGTGTCCGCATCTAACCTCTTCAAAGGAGGTGTTGGGAAGAGTTGTTTAACAGGTGAGCGCCCTGCGTACCAGTTGGCGATGCTTTGGAATTTAGCGCTGACCGCGAATGAAGCCCAGTTCGTTCACAATGAGTGGATTGAGAGCTACGATCCCACAATTGAGGACACATACCGGACACAGCTTCAGGTTGATGTGAGTTGAATATACTCAGTGTGACTTGCAGAAACGATTTGCTGACTCGATTCGATGCAGGGACGGCAAGTTGTCTTGGAAATGTGAGTGGCGGCACAATGCAGCAGCTGAGTAAGGTCTGGCATCTAACATTTAAGCCAGCCTTGATACCGCAGGCACAGAACAATTCGGTCAGTTTGTCCTCTGGTGTGGAACACTGCCCCTCCTCTAACACAAGAATAGTCGCCATGAGAGATTTGTACATGAAGTCCGGTCAGGGATTCATCCTCGTCTTCAGCATCACCTCATCCTCATCGATGAACGAGATTGAGATGCTGCGGGAGGAAATCACTCGCATCAAAGATGATGACAGTGTTCCCATTGTCATTGTCGGCAATAAAGCCGATTTGGAAGAGCAGCGTTCGGTGCCCAGGCAAAGAGCTTTCGCATGCTCTCAAATGTGGGATGCCCCATACTACGAGACCAGCGCTAGGACAAGGAGTAGGTTACTGTTCCACCGCCGCCAGGCAGTGATCGGGTTAGATGCTAACCATTTTCCAGCAAACGTTGACGCGGTCTTTATCGATATCTGCCGCCAGCTACTTCTCAAGGACGAAAGGAGCCAGGCCCAAGCCATCCATGAAGAAGACGAGCACGAAAACGAAAAGAATGCAGGCATAATGGGCTTCGCCAAGCGGAAAAACCGGAGACGTAGGCGTGCCGACGGCCACCGATGTGTCATTCTTTGAGCCAGTCTGCTCTGTATTCGATTCACCCGCAGACATCTTAGGTGACGCATTGAGCGTGCGCAAAGCACCGCTGATTACGCTAAGGACTGCTTTTACTCGCTCCGATGTATCATGACACCCAACAGCAATGCAGTTTACGATGGTGAAACCCGAGTCGCTCCTCATTTGGCGTCAGAACTGGGGTAACCATCAGTTTGCGAGATGTTTTCCCGTTTGCGACAAAGACAAGGGGCTTGTTGCTACTCATCTTTTCAGACGCTCATCACAAATTTCGATATCATTCATCTCCATGGCATTTGGACTTTTCAACTTCGGACTTCGATACGGCCTTTTGTATGCTTGACGACTTCATTTCAACTTACATCGACTTCAGCTGAACAGCGGCATCCGGGGTGGGACTTCACACTTTTTTCTCTTCTTCTCCTTCCCCACATATTGCACTTGCAGGATCTTGGTGCCTGCAGGCAAGACTTTTTACGACTTGTCGTTTTCATTTGATAACTTTCCACTTCTTTTTTATGATGGCACGATTATGGACAAACAACCATTACCCACATACCTCTTCAGTTTTCTTTACTTTTATCTTCATATCTAGGGACAGAGACAAAACAAAACAATGGAGGGACTGGAGTTTCAAGAACAAACAAAAACAGATTCCGTTTGGACACAGCTCACGGCTCGGCGTTGGGAAAACATTGGTTTGCGCCGGATATATGATCCTCCACAGGTAGCGAGGCTGGAAGCGGCCACGGCCCGGAAGTCCCATGGACTCACCGTGGCGAGAGCAATCGATGGCATTTTTGGCCTCGAAAGTTGCAGGGGCTCGTTCTCTGTCAGTGGACTGATGTGATTGTGATGCCGAGGCATGTGACCAATGTGACCCTACTGAACCCGTTTGTATCGGAGGTGCCGACGCTTCCAACACCGCCTACAGTCTCAAACCAACCTGAGTGACCACAGGAACATTTTTGAGAAAGATTGTATGCTTGCATAGTCCTTAGGAAGCCGGCCAGTCGTTGGTGTTGGTGTCTGCCCCACGCCAGGCTGAATGGAGAGTGTCTGTGTGCTGTCCGCGAGATCTGTTGTATAACCACGTCTCGGTGGCGCTTCTTCTTGTTTCCTGTTGAGTCAAGGCGGTGGACACATGAGCAACTGACCTTCATATAACCTCTTCGTCTGCCTTTTTTTTTTTTTACTCAATCTAATATTTAAGCGGCAAAACTCATAGACACATTGTCCTCCAATGAGATCCCGTGTATGTTTGTATGAACAGGGGTATGAATAGAGGTAAAACTCACGTTGTATCGCGGGCCACAGGCGAATTACGTGGGACTACTGCTACCTCAAACTCGGCGACCTCTATACGGTACCCTTTGTCGACTTCCTAGTGTCCAAAGGACTCCGAGCTTAGGTATCGGGCACATCAGAGCATTATCTACTTTTATATAACGGCTAGCCGGAGGTTTTGTGTCACCCAACTTGGATTTGATATGTAAGACTGTAGCAGGTTAAATAGGCCGTATGGGACTCAGCAGTTGTATGTAATTTGGAAGGGTGGGGGATGTGTTCATCTGGGTGTCTCTCAAGCCCCTATTGGATTACTCGTTATTGATGTAAAAGCTATCAAACAAATGTAAGATACCGGAGTCGAGGCGGCGGAGGGACTTGCGTGACGGTGCTCTGTTCTTTATTGCTCTATTTGCCGGCCATGGATACACGGATAGAAGGGTTGCGCACATTAAGAAGCAATATGCATAACATTTTCGTGTTGTTCTTGTATAAGATAGGGATCTTAATGCCTCGATAACAGGTAAATGTTGTGATTGTATGGTCTTTCTGACAACAATCGTAGCCTGCGTTTTCTCCTTGTCGAGACAAGAATACCATTACTTTCCCGACACCAGCCAACGCCTGCAGTTAATGAACCGGGAACCGTGGCTTCTACCGACATATTTACGTCGCTGGTCCACTGCCCAAGCGTCTTATTCCAAGTATTGAGCCAAGAATACTCCGAAGACGGTTGACTGAGGTGGATATACACGTCGACCAAAGTTCAAGATGCTTATCTTTTCCAGCCAACGCCATTCATTCTCTTCATCTGCGAGTATAAGCGTGAGCTAAGCCTGCCGTGGTCAGTGTATGTGTCTACCTGAGCCTGTCTCATCACTGGCGGCGGATGCCAAGCCGGCTCCGTGACCGGAACATCTTTCTTGTCTTCTGCGGCACTGTCCCCTCGTTCTACCCCTGAACTACCGGAAAAGACGTAGAACCTGAAATGTTGATTTAGCTTCTTGATAACCCATCAGATGACTCTGTCGCCGTTGTCAGATCCAGCCTCATTCACATGAAGGTTCGCTATACTTGGTCCGCATAATCCGGCTCATCGCCACAGCTGAACTCCCATCTTGTCATTTCAAATCCGTTTGTCCACTCGGGGCCCAATCACCCGGACGAAACTTTCATATCATCGCAGACCAAGGTGAGCTCAGATCAAAGAGTAAATGTCCCCCCTTCAAGCCTAGACACCGCGGCGCATGCGGCCACCCCATGCCGCGGGTAACATCGAGAAGATGAGCCGGGAAGTGTTTGCCCAGTAACTTGAATTTCCAAATTCGTCTGGCACTAAAACGAACGACGAGATCAAAAAAGTCGGGAGGGAAGCAGACCAGGCCTGTTTGCGTATGCACGGACAGCGGGAGAGCTTAGATGTACGCGGAAGGGACCGTGCCCAAACAGACAAAAAAGAGTGAGATCCAGGGGAACAAACAGGACGACCAAGGCTTGCCCCCCCCCCTTCAAGCCTCACATAACCTCACACTTGACTGGAAACGCCGTCCCCCTCCAGAACCGGATCGTCGTCCCTTTTGTTTGTTGTCTTCATCTCCTCCAATGTACCCCGTACGCAAAAGAACACCTGCGCCATCCGCACCCCGACAAGACTACCCGCCATCGTCTCAAGGATCGGATGCCGCGTCGTCTCAACAACAATGACATCGCCCTCAGTCCGTTTTCCGCCCGTACAAAGCAGGGAAAACACTCTACCGCTCTGATCTGGATGTGGTCAATGCGACAAAAAATGCAGTGCCCCTTCCGGCTGACGGCATGTAGTCTGAATAAGGTGATTTTGGTATACCATACAAAACGAGACGAACTGTCGGATGGGGAGGTTTGAATATCGGCCGTTGGCATCTTCCGTGCTGGAAGAGGATGCGCAGTAGGCGATGGTGAGGAGTAGCTATCGGTCCATGTTTTGTCATATCAACAACCCCTGACGTTTACGGAGCATGTTCTCCCATGCATGATCTTCATGCCCGTGGTGACAGGTTCAGGTTGTTGCTGATGAGTGGAAACCGAGGATACAACACATCAGTCAGTCTTGCTGGCGAGTAGCCTTGAGGTTCCAGCCAGAAGCAGGCACACACATTCTCACCGGCTTCAGCACGAATGTGGCTCAAGCAGTCATCCACCAAGGCAAGCAGCCGAGTAGGAACAGAAAAAAGCACCAAGAACCAGGAAGACTTGAACAACAGACGCTTCATTCATTCCAATCTCATGGCCGCAGGACCCGCGAACCTCTAATCTTCGTCTATAAATGCGCAGCCAAACATCTGGCTGTGAAACACGCCTGGCATATGGAAACCCCCTTCCTCGTCGTACTCCGTTTGCCCTAAATTAACCAAGCATTAAAACGTCGCTTTTACCAGTCTCAATCTTCCAGCTTCCACCGCACCGCTTAGCCGATGACACGAAGGGCGAAAGAACGAAAGGAAAAATACAGGTTCGGCGGGGGGTATGTATACAAAGAAGAAAGAAGAAAAAAAAAGGGAGAAAAGTACGTAAAGTAACGGGGTATTGGTGAAGTAACGTCAAAACGGGGCAAAGTCCGTATGTCCCACCGCCCATCTTGGCGGATTCGTGTGTAAAGTGACCTTTCTCTTATATCCCAACCCAGCAAGCAACGTCGGCGATATACGCTCCATCTAGAACCGCGGGGGTCCATGTGGAGGCGGCTTGTCTTCCTTATCCTTGACATTCACCTTCACCACGCCGACTAACACGCCGACAATCAGCGCAATGAGGAACAGCAACACGGCGCAGAGGATAGCGGCGAGGATGCCGAGCTTTTGCTTCCTCTTCCTCCTCGCCTTGGCCACCGGCCCAAGGCCGCCGGGACTGTTTCCGTAAGCGGGCATTCCGCCCGTCATGGACTGCAGATACGTGCGCGGGCGTTCCCCGTTGTTGTGGGCGGGGATGTCTGCGATGTGCGCCGCGGCCGGCGCTGGAGTTTGCTGTGGTGTGCCTGCGTAATTGCTTCCTGGTCGCGCATCCCGCGCCCCATGCTGTCCGGTAAGCGCGCTCTCGGACTGGTTCGGGGAGACAGGGTCCCTGGGCGTGCTCGCTCCCGTTGCTGCTCCTGTGCCCGGTCGGGAGGGGTCATACGGCGGCGGCGGGGGCAGGTTCGGGTTCGCAGCTGACATGCCGTCGGGGCTCCACGGGGTCACACTTCCGCGGCCGGGCGAGTACGGGCCTAACAGCGGATCGTGGGTCGGGCTCGGTTGGCCCCAGCTAGGGGATTGTGCTGCCGGAGGATATTGAGGGTAGGGTGCTGTAGGAGCCTGCCGGCTGCCGCCCATCGCGGGGCCGGTGTTGTAAGACTGGGAGTACCGAGCCTCGGGCATGGCGAGCTTGTCGTCGGGGTGCGAGGTAGGAGCTGACGGACGGTAGGAAGAATCTTGCGGGTAGGCGGCATTGGAGATTGAGCTGGAGGGGTGATGACCGGGTGTGTAGGACGAGTCGGAGGGATATGCGGCGTTGGAAATTGAGTCCGATGGGTGGTGGTTATACGCCATGGCGGACGATGGACGACGAGGTTATCGCCTGATGTAGTAGAGATATGAGTTTGAGTGAGGCGTCTGGTGAGATGAAATATGGTTCAAGTTGACGTCGGGCTTCGACTTCGGGGTCCGTCTTCGATAGTCACACAGGTGGTCGGAGAAGCTCAGATGGGCTCAAGGTGATGTATCGGTTGGTCGCGACTTGCAAGTGGTGTTATAGAGCGCGTCGAAGGTCACCACCAATAACCTTTCTCCAATTCAATGTGATGAGCGGCGCAGATGTAGCGTGAGGAGGAACAGAACGCTGCTCGGGAGTTGAACTCGTGAGTAGAGAGTGAGCAAGCGACTGCCGTGTATCGAGCACCCTCCTCCTCAGTGTACAGTAATGAGTGAACAAGATTGGAAGGAGAATAAGAGCAAGAAAAAAAAAAAGAAAAAAGGCAAAAAGAGATGAGCAACGGGTAGAATGAGATTGAGGGACGGGAAGGAAGAAAGGTAAGGAAGGGGTCACCTGGACTGCGGGCAGCCCACCTTGGAAAGCAGGTCAGCGCCAGGATGGGCGCAGGCAGGATGGGTGCTGGTTGGATGCTGCAGCATCAGCTTTTTTGCCAACAACCAACCGGGAACTCAACCACTCAGGCAGCATCCACTGCGGCTTGCTGGGCCAAAGTGGACTCTACTGCTACCGTGCTCACCTTTACCACCGTAACTATCGTCTTCCCACCCCTTCCAGCTTCACTCAGTAGAAAGCGGCTTCACAGCCTCGGTGGCGCGTATCAAAGGGGGGAGCCGGCTGGCTGGGCGGGAATCCGCAGGACGGTTAAAGTGAGTCTACAGTCTAGACTAATTCCCCCCTTAGAGGAGCTTGCTCGTACTCTGACAGGCCACGCCGGCTGCGGTATGATGGTTGCGTCCTAGTTTGCGCTCCTCTCTCATCTTAGCTTCTTCACTGCGTCAGCCATCAGCCGGTTTCAACGGTGGAAGCAGGCTGAGCAAGCCTGCCTGTCTGTCTTGTCAGATTTGCAGCAGATTTATTCCCGCACAGTGGACTGTCTACTAAAGTCCCTCACTCATTCAACCACTCGCAGGCCACAGGCGGTGCCAGGATTTGGGGGGACGGATGATGGGGTGACGGGTTTCAAGACACCCGACGACACTGATTGACAGCTTTCTGACCCAAACTCCCTTCCCACCTAGCACGAACTGCTATGCACCCACCTTGTCTGCCCTCCCACTCAGTGTCAAAACCACAATCCTTGCTAGAAAAGTGCCCCATTTCTATTGCGAAAGGCGATGGCGAATGGGGACAACAGGGGAGGAGGAGGCAGGTACCCTGCTGGGGCACATCTGCGCCTAGAAAGGGGGTTAGAACATCTCCCCCCAAGGGAGGGGGATTGAGCGAACGGAGGGGCCACGGCAGACGAGGAGTCGCGACCTGATTGACCGAATGCCCTACCTGGCACAACGCTTCACTTTACTCCCCCGCCCAAGAGAATAAAAAAAGCGACACCGACCCGACCGGCCCAAGAGAAAACCGCCCGGGGATCCCCACATTGCACACCAACACCACTCACACCACGCGCCTGGAGGGGCTGTGTTCCCTACCAAATGCGACTCCCCTGCAGGACTGCAGGATGTAGACCGGGCTGGGCTAGGGTAAGGGTCGCTGAGTGCCACAAACGCGACCCTACGGTGGCACCCTGTCCGGCAGACGAGTGCGGTGGAACTGGGACTCTGGGCAGCGAGGAGGAAGAGGGTCTCTTGGTTACTGGCGACTTATATGGACGAGAATAGGCGAGTTGGTTTTCTTGTAGGTGAAACGGTGTAGAGAATAAGCAAACAAGACCCTTCTTATTCTGCCAAGAAACAAATAAATGGTCTTCAACTCTTGTTTTTTTCTCTCGGAAATTTTAAAGTAAACCCAGGAACGGTGACATCCCAAGAGTTTGGTGGGTGAGTGAAGAAGGTGGGAAAAGTAAGGAAGGGCAAGGGAACAAAAAGTGCGCTGTCCTGGATCTGTCTTAGCGCCCTTTACCCTCCCGCACATCGCAACTTCCCCTCGGCTCGGCCTCATTTGAATCTTGAACCTAAAAAGCCCAGTCCACAATAAAATCAAACAGCAGAAAAAAAAAACTACCATTTTACTAATCTTGCCCGGTCACTATCGCGTGTGCCCGGCCGTGTCAGTTTGCTACTTTGTAGCATCATCGCCATTTCTGCTATCCAACACTCCCTATTCCCACATTTAAACCCCTCTCTTCTCCGATCTCACGGTGATACCTAATCACATAAGACCAACGATCGAACGACCAAAATCCACATCCCACCCAAGCCCTATCCAGTTTTCTATCTATAGATAACCAGCAAACCATCCCCCTAACAAGAAGAACAAGACCAAGTCATCAGACTCCCGTAAAAGAATTCATTAAACAACCAAGTAACGAAGCAAGGGAAAAAAAAAAAAAAAAAACACTGTTACATAAATATTATCCCCAATCAACATGAAAACCACACTACCTAACCCACCACTAAAACCTCCCCTCGCAAAGCTTCATTTATGGAGCGTCCTCACCTTACCACTCTCCCTCCAGCGCCCCAAAACAACTCAAATCAATCCACCCAATCTCCGTAGTGTGGCTCTCCTCTGCCCTCTTCCCCCAAACGAAGCCTACTAGACTGGTTCATCATACCACAATTGTAGCCAAACAATCGAAACAACATAATCGTCATCACTTACAAAAGAAAAAAAGATAAAAATAAATATATGAATAACTGGATTCTCGGATACAATCCCCTAAGCGTCACATACCAACGTCGACGACGACGACAACGGCCCCTCGCGCTAACATCCTTCTACGGAGCACCTTGCCGTACCTGTCTGTCTGTGCCAGTGCTCACCTTCCCCCCCCCCCCCCCCCCCCCCCCCCCCCCCCCCCAATAGACCAGGCGAGATTTATCCCTTCCGCGGAGATCCCGACGATCCTGTCCGATAGTATGGATCCTCTAGAAGGGAAAGAAGAAGAAAGAAAGAAAGAAAGAAAAATGAACAAGGATGGCTCCACTGGACTTTGAGACGGGTGCCCGCGGAATATTTACCAACGCCATCCATCCATCGTGTGAGACGCAAGCAAAGAGTACCTCCCTACTCTCTCTTTCTCTCTCTCTCTCTCTCTCTCTCTCTCTTTCTCTCTCTCTCTCCCTCTTTCTCTCTCTCTCTCTCCACTAAATCTCGTGAAAACACATCTCATGCGTAACCGCTTTTCCCCCCTCGGTCCCCCACCGGCTAGATGTATACACCTTTCTGTCCACAGTAGGCCGATGGCTAGATTGTAGCTAGACTTGACTTCACTCACAGATGAAGAGACGGGGAGAGATTAATAGACATCGCCGTAGAACTGATTATGTCTTGATTTCGCTATCAATGGTGGTATATGGATCTGCACAGCTTCTCGGCTTCCCCCGCAATCTCAACGCCTTCGCTGACTACTCGTACACAACGAGACGCTATGCGTGCCAATATCCTCCGCTTGGAAAAACTAAATAAAAAAGAAAACTCTGACTTTTACACAAGATGGTCGTCCGGCGTGTCTCCAAATTTCCCATACTGCTCGTCTCTTATGAGCGAGCAGATCATCGCCTCATTAAGCATGACTATATACATCCTTTTTTTTTAAAAGTCCCCTCGACACGCCGTCAACGACCATCTATGAATCTCTCACGCCAGTATTATAGCAAAAGCCCCACGACAATGAGCTCCTGCAAAGTCGACAACATCCTTAGCTAGCCGTACTATTCGAAACACCTCCGGGAATTGTAATGAGGAAGTGGACCAAGTCTACCGAGTTGCCCCCACCAAGCGTGACGTTCAGGGCCTGGCTCAGCGGAACACCACCGTTCTGCTGCCGGCTTCCCTGGTCGGCGGCTGAGAAGAAACGCTGAAGGACAGTTTGCGCCGTGGTTGCTGCCATGAGGTTCTGCTTCTGAAGGATGAGCAGTACTGACACTCGCGCAAAGTCAAGCGTCTCTTCCGTCGTCGTAAAAGTAGGCGTGGGTGCTGCCGGCGCGGAAGATACTGGGTTTGAAGGGAGGATAGGATCCTGTGACTTCGTTGACGTAGGCGGCGCCGAGGTCGCAGGCGGCGGTAAGGTAGGCGTCACAACAGGAACTGACGGGACCGTGGTCGGCTTAGGCGGCATAGGAATCGTGGCCCACATGGTCGAACTGGACGCATAAATCGTCGTGACGCGGAACGGGCCTGTGAGCGTGGTGAATCCGCCCACGATGTTACCAGATGGCCCGATGACGGCTCCGGTCTGGATTGCATTGAACGTGATTGTTGTTGCTTGGCCAGGTAGGAGAGTGATGATTTGAACGGGAACGAAACCATCAGCGTTCACGTCCGCGTTGGCAACCACTTGCCCGGACTGCGGAGTGCCCTGGCGAGTTGAGCGCCCATCGAAGGTGACGAGCGAGTTCTGCGCGATGCACGACAGACTCTCCGTGTTGAACTTGGCCAAAATGTCGGTCCCGTCTAGGGGGATCGTGAAGTTTGTCTGTGACTGCTGCAGGAGCCGAGGTATCGCCTGGCCGAGGGTGACATTATTGATATTAGATGATCCCGCAAGATTTGTCGTGGTGCAACCTGTAGCTCCGGCCACTGCGCAAGTCTGCCCAGTAAATCCGTTTGTACAAATACATGAGCAGACGTTTTGTGAGATGACATTGGTGCCGCCATTCTCGCACTTGAGCTGGTTCTGACACTGAGTCAAAGCCGGCTCGGCGGTGGGGGTGCTACCTGCGCGATTCTTCCGGAAGACGAAAAACTCCAGTGGAACGATGATTGCTGCGGCAATGATGCCCAAAACCAGAATGACGATAAGAATGAACGCCCAGAGGGGGAGGCCGCAGCATCTTCTGCGGCGCTTGACAGAACCTTCATCACTATTGGAATCGAGCCGGGCCAATGGCGAGGATCTCGCAGCCATTGCACGAGTGATGTTCTGTGGAGTACTCTCTCGGCTCCCTGGTGCCAGAGGCCAAGAACCAGTAGAACCACGTCTGAACCAACTGCCGCGATTAGGAGGATTGGGGGTAGTTGCCGGCGGGGGAAAAGCAGCCAACATGTCAGAGAGCCCTGACTGGTGTTTCTCAGCTGCTGTTCCTTGGTTAGTTAGCTGGCTATTATGGCTTGCAAGAACTTTTGGACTTACCAGTCGCACCGGACATCTGAACCTCCCCCTCACGCCCAAACGCCTTCTCGTCGGGCCATTCTCCGTCCATGTCGAACCTGCTGGCAGGTCTGCGTCCTCGGTCGATGAGGGCAGCCAACCGAGTAGCACGCTTAATGAGGTCCGGCAAGCTAGTCATGCTACCTCTAGACTCCATTTGTCTGACAGAATCCATGTCGAGTCCCAATTTAGGTGGCCGTCTAATCGCCGACAAACGGCTATATGGCCGTGGTGACGGTGTCACTTTTCTCATTTCGGCCGGATCTGTTGCGCTAGCAGCAGCAAAGGCACCCAGCATTGCGTTAGCAGTTAGTGACGGAGTGCTTGCTGTCGCTGCCATTGTAGGAACAGTCCCCGACGAGCTGGATCCCTCGACATAGCCCGTGCCGTTGTCGAAGGGGCTATGTGGAAGTTGGTTTTGGAGGGGTGATGGTGTCGGGCGGAGCGCCTCCTGCGGCATCGGATCACCGCCACTGGCACCCCGGTTCATCACAATGGCCGGTTTCTGCATCTTGCCAACGCTCGCACTCCTCACGAGTTTGCTTTCGTCGCCACCGTCACCATAAGGTGACGTGGTCCCTCTGCTCATCTGGCTGTTCTCATCTTCGGTGGAGTAGGCGTCGTCCTCGTAAAACTCATCTGGATAGCCTGGGCTGAATCCTGGCGATTGACTACCCCAGCTCTCTGGCATAGCTGCGCTGGATGCAAAGGATGTATGTGACCTGGACCGGGGGCTTTCTTCGGGAATCGGGGAAACGAAGGAGGCGTTCGAGTAGAATGACGAGTCGCCTCGGCGAGACGAAGGCGGTGGTCCGAGGGTGACGCTCCGTCTCGGAAGAGCAATCGGTGGAGGCGGACCGGGAGGAGGAAGTGCGGCCGGGGGAAGGGCGGCCGGCAAAGGAAAGTCTGGAATCGATCCGACAGACGATAATGACGACTGCGTGTGTCTCGATGACGGTGTAAGTGGTGCGGAGGAGGCATCTTGGCTCAGCGTCGATTCTCGTCCAAGTTGTGGTGTGTATTGAAACACGGGAGTGTGATCCTGCACTCGTGAACTGTCTAGGATCGAAGGCACCCTGCTCGGGCGCGGCGGCCGTTGAGGGGGCGGTCCCCGGCCTGGGGGAGGTCGATACGGTTCTGCTTCGGGTGATGGGGACGGGATGGGTCCAGGTAACGGCCACTGGGGAATTTGAGTCGGCCGCGATATGGCCATGCTGACGCCCCCGTCTCTGTTCTGTAGCGCGGCCGGGGGCAACGGTCTCGGAATTCGGGACGGGGATGGTTCGACGTTCTGACGGCTCGGTGGCGGTGAGACATCTGTGGGACTGTCTGGGCCTTCTTCTACTATTGGGAATCGTGTTGCCGGCGGTGGTGCATAATCTTCCCTCGGATATCCAGCTTGAGCCCGCTCTCTCGCCCGCTTGACGGATCCTGCAATTGGCGGTCGATCCATATCTCTTCCATATTGGGGTTGACTCATTTAGTACTCCTGAATTCGGTCCAGCGACATCAGAGTCTCTCTTTCCCTTGGCCTGTTTCTCTTTCCAGAATGACTGCGCGTCCAGACACGAATATTAAACCATTCACCCTGCGGTATCACCTAGGTGCAGATTCCACGGCGGTAGTTCCTTCGGGTCTCCGATGGCTGACTGATGCGGCGGGTGTCTTCAAATTTGGCCGGTGTAGAGTGGCTCGTATAAGCTGGGTCGACAGTAGAGGTCACTGCAGGCACTCGACGCAGCTTCGCAGACAGAAACGACTGGCGGGTGGGTATATAAAATGAAGGTCGCTCAACTCTATTGCGAAGCGGTGTAACTGGGTGAGATTGAAAACAGGAACCAGGCCTATTAGAACGAGAGAATTGAAGTCTAGTGCGATGCCGAAATGCAGTCGTTGATGGCGAATGAGAAAGGAAAGGCGACGAAGGAATGAACTGCAGACGCGAAACCGGTCGCAGGAAAAGAGCAAAATGCTAGATGAATTAATTAGAGTAGTAGAGAATGGAAAAACCAGGCGCAGACAATCTATGGTGAGAGGTCCAGGTCAGCACTGGAGAGAGTGTGAAGGGTTTGGGAAGAGAGGGGGGGAGGCGAGAATTGAGGTAGCGCAGGAGCAGCAGCATGTACTGTACTGTACGTCTGTCTGGCAGCACCGCAGTGCGAGGGATTCTGCCCGGTTACAGATGCAGGAGGTTCCCGGCGATTTGGGAGGGTCGCCTCGGGTCAACCACACACGCACACCACACACGCCCCCAGAGCAAGGAATACCAGGACAGTCGGGTCACGGGTAAGGGGAGTCGCAGAGGGGGGGTCACGTACAGTTGGTGTTTCGAGAGTTGGATTTTGCGAAACGTGATTCGTCCGCTTACAAAATACTTGTCGCTATTGTTGATAAAAGAGAGATGGGGCTGCAGAAGATGACGGTTGTATCGATAGTTGGGAGAATTTGACTGGACGATCCTGTGATGATGATGGCATCAACCTCGATACCAAGGTCCCAGCCGGTGCGTCGACGCAACGTGCAGCAGCAACAGCAGCTACGATAAGAGCAACAGCAGAGTACAACTCTGTTGGACGGCGGAAAGAAGAGAAAATGCGGCCGATGAGACGAGCGCAGATGGGTGCACGATGCACACTGACTGGGTCTTGCTGTGCTGGGTGAGAGGGACTGAGAGTGTTTCAGACAGACGGAACGGGCAGGGCTTGTCCGGCGTCGGGGAGGCAGCACAACTCTCTGGGGGAACCTTGTGATGGACGTCTGAAGATTTGAAGATCAAGAGACAATCAGGCGAAGAGGGGCCCCCGTAGTGGATTCGATGGGCGAAATGATGTGCAAACTGACAGGTGAGGTTCGGTAGGGATGTCGATGGGTGTGAAGTATGAATGAGAACAGGTCGGAGCCCCCAAGGTAACGGGAGCAAATGGCAACTACCTGCGGTCCGAGTTTAGTTTCCTCCTACTTTGGGGGGGGGGGGGAAACTGGAGGCGGTAGTTGGACGGGAAAAGGTAATTGTCTTCAAGACAATAGAGCGATGGTCCCGGGCTGACAAGGAAAAAGTAAAATGGGAATTTCCCCAGTAGCTGTCGACCGAGGAAAAGGAACAGTGAGAAAAAAGAAAGTCGAGAATTGAAAAGGCGTCCAGTGCGCGCGCGCGTGAGGATTCCGTCCGGGTCCGTGGGTATTGTGCGTAAGTAGAGGTATCCCCGATGGGCGACGGACGGCAACACACGGAAGGTTATCGTAAATCCTGTCGGGGCTCTTTGACAGACCGGCGTCGACTTGACTACGCCGACGACTTACAGCAAAGGCTGCTGGCTTGTCTCGACTGTGCGAGCGAGGGTCGTTGTCGCTTTTGCTCGCTTCTCAACCGGGCCTTGGGAAATGGCTGTAAGGGAAGGTGAGAGAGAAGAAGAAAAAAGACTAGACTGGACTCAACCGAAGAGGTCGAGAAGAGGAGTCGAAGCGGAACAAGAGGGGGAGGGATGGGGGGGAGGAGAAGGCGAGGAGGGATCCCTGGAGATCAAAAAGAGGAAAGCCAGAGTCGCAGTCCAGGAGGCAGTTTACCAGAAGAGGGTTTGGCCTGCTCTAGGTTGGGATCTGGAGCCGGGGGTTGGCATCAATATTGGGATATGGTCTGGCCTGAGTGACAGCCCATTCATGATCATCGGAGCAGAGTATGCTCCACCTGACGAGCACAGGGGTGTGTGATATTTTTTGCTCGAGTGTGTCCTTTTTTGTGTGGCATTCTTCTCTGCTGGATACAGACAACAAGAGAGAGAGATGTGCAGTGGTGGGTTGCTACTATCTAAAGGCGAACATGCGTGGAGAATTTGGGACGGGATTGCGCAAACGACAACATTAAAAATATGGAGCTGTAGCAGGGAAATGACAACGGGGGAGGGGGTGGTGGTTTATGACACCTGAACGCCCCCCCTCTGTTGTCTCCTCCAGAAAAGCCATTTAACTATTTAGTAGTCAGAGAAAGTCGATAGACTGTAGAACGTCTCAGTCAGCACTTTCACATAACAACTGGTCATTTTCTAGCGTCACCATCAGCAGTTTGGCAAGCGTGAGGCGTCGCTCAGTTCCAATAGTCAGGCAGGACCCTATTCCTCATGTGTGTCACGGGCTGCCACGGCTGCCCCTGGTTGCAATTTACTAATAGAAGGAGGTCGAGCACTGCCGCCAAATCTGGCAAGATGGAAGGAAAGCACGGCTCGCATTGGAGGCTGTGGCTGACGCCAACACGAGTATTCCCGGCAAAACGCTCCCACGCTGCCTGCCTTGACTGCCAAGAGGGGACTCCGCCAGGAACCTTCTGCCCGCTTCAGGTGCTGCTAGTCCAACGCTCCTGCCCCGGCTGGGGGGATTCTCCGTTGAGCCCCTGTCTTTTTCGGAGTCGAGCCAGTGGGTCAATTGACCGCATAGTGGGTCGGCGATGAGCGTAAGAGGTTTAAGCGGAAACACTAGCGCAGGCACACACACCTTCAGACCCAACTGTGGGCCCCTGCTACCATGGGCTAGATGGCCCGATCTGGGGTGGTTCCTTACTCCACTGATTGCTGACGGGACCTGGGTCTCCAACGCCATTGCCCTCTGTCTCTTTAGGGGCTTTCTCTTTCTGTACACTGCTTTGTCACATCACTTCCGAGAAAAAGAAAGACATCCATGTCATCTTGCTACCATACTACATACGTACAACCATACACATGGACACGAGGTTACTGTAAAATGCAAGTGTCGTGTGGTAAAGACACACAACCCAACCTGGTCACGATAAAAAAAAAAACCAGGGGTGGCTACCCAGGTAAGAAACGCCACTAGAACACGCTTACAGCATCTCTCTCTCTCACACATCCTATTCAAGCCCTCTACAGGATGCTTTCTTCCCCTGCAAGTTGCGGTATGCCTGTCCTTCTTGCCGTTTTTTCTGCATCTGTCAGAGGTGCCGGCGGTGTGATGGAGTGCAGCGGGAAAAAGAAAAGACATGCCGGTTTGGAACATATGCCTGCGCAACTTTGAAGAATCAGTTCAGCCAAACTGCGACCCCCAAAGTTGCGATCACCAGCCCGCGCTTCTCCCAACTCAGACAATCCGACCCAGCCTCTTTCGTCTTACATGTCTCTGATCATATGTTTACGGGCCAATTTGGGGGCCGCAGTAGCCAACAAACACCACCACTCACTGCCGAACGACACCTTACGTAGTGGACTACACAGAAAGTACGCCGATACCATTGTCGAGAACCCCGATCTGGTACCCCTAGCCAACTCCAAGACGGGACGAATTGAAACGTTACGCCCCTCGGCCTGATGTCTGGCACAGAGAAAAATGAGAGGAAAATATTCCGACAACTTTGAACCCCATCCCCCGCTTTCAAGATGCCCTACCAGTCGGCTGCCCCCCGAGGCATTTGATCAACAGCGCCCTCTACTGTAGAGAGACTGTTGTCTAATTCGCGAGTCTTGGTCGAGTATTTGGCTGTCAGATGCGAACTGGTATCCCGGGGCCCTTTCACAAGCCGCTCAACACCCTGACAGCAAGCATCGCTATCTTGTACGGGCCCAGAGCGCAAATGGCGGAAGAATGGGAATTGATTGTTTTGCGCCCGCCCTTCGTTTATGACTTGTCGTCTCGGATCCCTTCACCCCCAGCACCAGAACGCTGATCAGCATTACCTTAAAGGCATTTGAGCGGGGGTCTGCCTGCGCAGCGCAGAATGGAGAGTGCCTGTAATCACGCTGCCTGCAGGAGCATCACGACGCGCACCGTCGACTTCGTCGCATCTTTTGCGCGCCCAGTCAGGTACCACGTAGCAGACGCTGGGGATGCTGGACTCTTTTCTTGGCCGTGATGCACAGCAGAATACGGGCCTCATTCGCTTGCATTCTTCCTGGCGTACACGACGCCCAACAAATCGGGTTCGCCCTCACGTCAGCATCGCTCCACCCATCGCTCTAGTGGTACCGACAAGACCAAGACGGACATCAGCCGTGAGAGGGGCACAGCGGGTTGGTAGGTAGCACGGGAGCTTTTACCAACAAGGTGCCCACCGTTGACCATCCACTGCAACCCGCAGATGCAGATGCGTCTTTTTGTTCTGCAGAACGACTGCAGGCCGAGTTCTAGATGCGTTTCAGTTGCCAGATGCATGCTGCACGCATGGAACATGGCTCGAGGGCAAAGCCCTCCCCAGCAGCCGTCCCGCTCTTTGGTTCTCTTTATCCGTCACAATTGGTTGTATCAGGGCCAACTCTTCCAGGTGAGGTCCCTGTCGGTATGGACCCTTTCCTCTTTCTACAGGGACGACGCCGCTTGTCGAGCAGTGCACCGACACCGACTTGGCACCTTCTCCGGTGTTTCTCCCTGGTTTTTCGAGGCCACGGGACCAGTATGTAGATTGGAAGGGTTGATATTTCTTCAACTTTGCCCAACGAAAGCTTCTGGCGGTGTATGTGTTCTCCTGGGTGGGACTGCTGTTGAATTGAACCCCGATTTGGGACAGGTTGGCATCGTCCGGGCAAAACGACCACCATGAGACAAGCCCAAATGGCCATCCCCTGTCCCAAGAGCCGTCACCGCATCGAACTAGACAGGTTGTTGCATTGCATGGCTGCAAAAATCAACACACAGTGACTACTTTCTGCTTTATCTCTGCCATAGTACGGCATCTCCACGCAACTTCAATTGCCGCCCTGGGCCTCCACACGTGGATATTGGGACGAAACGAAACAACGCATCGACGGATGCGCGGGTCTGCCGCCTTCACAGCGCAGCAAATCATGCGGCTGCATTTGTCTGGTTTTGTTCAGTCGTGTTCATTTGGCCCGCGGCACGTCATCTCCGAGCCAATGGCTTCAGGGATGCACTATGGCTGACTATGATGCACTTACTGTCAGTATTTGAAGCCACTCAAGTGTGCCGTAGCGCCATGAAAATTTTGAGTTTGACGGTTCGACCCAAAGCAATTTGCGAGCCTCACTCTCATTGGCACCGTCCTAGTTCCCGTTGGTCGCTCATCAACGTCAAACCATTCGGCCCCACGGCGCCGTCTAGTCTCCGTTGTGGAGGCGTCTTACCAAACCTTGGGTCTGGACTTTGATAGTGAAAGCCATCTATTCGTGACGCGACACACGGATCCAAAGAATTGGACTGCCTGCCAAGTCGACAGCTGGCGTATCGCGTGTGTCTACGTAGTAGACTAGTTTGATGACAACGTGAGCAAAACATTCAATCGATAATGTTTGCTGGTTCCTTAATATTCGGAAATAAGCCCGTCATCCGATATAAGTCATTCGTAAAACCAAGGAAGTGGTATTTCCAATTCCGAGCAAGCAAATGTTTTCTCACTGTCTGACCTGAATGTCGCCAACAGCTTCACCCAACATTCCGGCTGGGTGTCGATCTCTAAGAAGGATCGAATTACAGGGGGATGGTCGGTGAATTTGAATTTTTGATTGGAAATTAACTCACTCATTGTCAGATTTGGGTCAGGAGACATGTTCTGAACTTGAAGTTGATCAAAAAGAACGTCTCACACGCCTGCGGCTTGTTTCGAGCGAACCCACAACTTGCAACTCACAATATCAAAGTGCTCTTTAGGAACGACACATCATTGGCTTCAATTAAGGGATCACAGAACTCGGGTCTCTTGGCACGCGACTATCTCAGACAACATGCTCGGAAATTGGTCTATGAAGGGCTAAGTGCAAAATGTTTGTTCCTTTCCTCGGATCTCCCGAAAGATCTTCGTACGGCTAGGATTATTTCTCCCCGTACTCAAGGTTTTAGATTAAAGAATTCACACCAGTGAACTTTAGCCGGCTCTAGAAAACCGCTCGTAGGGATATTGGAGTTAGAATTGGAGAAAACTGTCAACACCCGATTGCCCAAAAGCCCTTTACGATGGTGACGTCTGTTTTTTCGACGCGAGAGTAGGGAACAGCGCCCGCCCGCCACCCTCTTTTGACTTCTTTGTCTTTGCCTCTTCTTCCATCAGGGCCTTGTCCTTTTCAAAATCCTCAATACTCTGGATGATGACCCAAGAAATCCGCTTTACCCGTGACTTCTCCTCCCTACACTCCTTCAGCTTCTTTCCTTTCTGAAACCTCTTCCAGGACCTCTTGCGCGCGGCCTTTGCCTTCTTGTCAGTATCCTTCAACTGTTGCTTCACCCGCCATGAAGCCAATCTGGCCATTGTCTTGGTCTCTGGTTCGGGTTCGGGGATGTTGAAGTCGAGCTTGCAAACTCTGTCCTTGAGATATTCCAAACACCGATCCTGGGGTGTCAAATCGAGTGTATCTTCGCCGAGTGGCGCCATCAGAGGGTCCTTCTTGTCCAATCCGAGGTTCCTCCTCAAGCTCTTTCCGCTGACGATGCGGGCGTGAAGGCCACGAGGGTTGAAGTACTCCTCGTTCTTGTGGTCAATGAACTTGTCGCACTTGGCCTTCGCCATGTAGTACGTCAGGCCGGTGGCGCCTACTTCGATGAGAGCCGCGATGCCGTCGGCGCCTTCGAAGGGAGCGAAGGCGACGCCGACGCCGACTACTTGGGCCGCTGTTACCCCTGGATGGGGGGCAGTTAGGATGTTGAGGCTGTCAAGGAAGCTCAGCCATTCCGACTGCGGGACGCCGTGGTGCTGTAGTTCTGGAGCCCACGCCCTCGCAAAGGGAAACGTGCTCCCTGGGTTGACACGTGGAATGACAACGGGACGGGACAGCGGGCCTCCTTTGTGCTCACTTGGAGTAGATGCTGGTTTCTCATTTGTCGACTCTGCAAGGTCCAACTTTTCTATGATGTTTACTACGTCTGTTGACTTTTGCGGGGTTGAAGGTTGGTGGGAAGTTTCGTCTCCTGGATATGCCGGGGGCGGCTCAATATCCAGACCTTCGGCGGAAACTCTCGTAGCGTCTGTTTTCAAGGCCTGTTCGGGCTTCGATCTCACGCAGGTGAACAAGCGGTGCTGGATTGTTGATTTACCCATGGTCAGGCAATGGTATACCCGCAAGCTGCGGTTAAACACCAAAGGGAAATCTGACGTTGACAGAGATAAAGACAAGCACACTGGAGAACGCGGATGTAGAACATCAAAAGCTTGGTTGCAATCACTCGAGAGGACGCGACGAGGAGCGCGGTTATATTGCCATGTCGGCAGGTATGCTTCTTTTCTACCGTAGGGCAGAAGGTGAGGCAGAACACCTTAACCCGTGGGCCACTGACGAGCTGCGATAGGATGCACTTTTACTCTCAGAGGAACGGGCTGAAGCTGCATCGGTTCCCGTTTGGGTTATTTCAGTGGCTGTGCAGCAATTTTCCTGCGGGTGCTATCTGGATGCGTCAGGCCGAGTGTGAATGGTTGATATCGTTGATAGCGTGCTACCCATCCTACTGCCTACCTTGTGGTGCAGCCTCACAGCTGAATGGGTGTTGTGACCGTATTTCGTGTCAGCCACATTCCCCCCTCCCCCCTGCAATGCAACAGTGCATAAAAAGCGCGCATAAAACGAATAATTACCACGTGGTGGTGGTATACCCCTTCATCGGTCTTCACCGGCGACGCATGAGACGCGATCTACTATGTAGGTAGTAGTAATACTGGACTGGAGTGTAGTAGTGTAGGAATCAGCAGGAGAGACCCCTTCCATCAGCCCAGCTACATCATTTCATCTGCACTATTTCCAGCTGCCGAGACGGGGGCGGGTATGGAAGACGTCTAGATTTCTGGGCACTCAGGCAGGCTACCACCTAGTTCAGGCCCATACTCTCGGGACCTTCTTCTCTCTGACGAGAATTTCCCTGCCTCCCTCTCGTGGCTGGCACAATGATTACCACGTAGTTCCTAGAGAAAAGAGGGACTTGGTGCAGGGTTTGACTATTGCTGCTCTTGCTATTGTGGCATTTTGTATCACGATGATACGGCGACGAGGGGTTTCAGACCATACGAAACCCCTTGCTGGCCGAGCGGGCTGGGTTGAATATCGATAGGAAGCGTAGATCAGGAGACGCTTGTAAGGACGCTTTTTGTCCAGTGTTCTTCTCTACTATTATGTCTTCCCTTCTCCGCGCTTGCCTTACTAAGTAGCAGCTGCAGTGCAGCTGCAGTGTTCTCCTGTACGAATCGAAGTCTGCTGCTGGGTGGAAGTTTTACGCCATAGACGTCATGTGCTCTTCTGATAAAGGGCTCTGACCACGACATGCCTGTCAAAAAGAAAAGCAAAGTTATGCAAGGAAGCTGCGAGGTTTTTGGTTTTGGGGGGTTTTCCCCTTGCTAGATTTGTTAAGGACAAGATGGAACACAGTGATTGGGCTGAAAAAGTCAACTCAAGCGCGCGGAAGTTTGCGTGAGAAGGGTGATCTGATGGCTGGCTCTAGCACGGACACGCCCATGCTTTTTGCAGGTTGGGATAGGCAAAGGGAAGGTTGTGAGCCGCACGTCATTGGGTGGGAGGTGAGGAGATGGTGAGCGGTTGGATGATGACTGATGACTGGTGAGGCAAGATGAGCATTGCGCAAGACCGATCGAGTCCCTTCCTGCTGCTTCCCCTGCGGTTGGTGGGGAAGTATATGACATAATCGAACCAGAGACACGCGACGGCGGCAGCGCTATGTTCAGTGCCGTGGTAACAGCCTCAGGCACCCATCACCAAAATTCGAGCTGAAAGTGCGTGCAGAAGCCTCCTCCGTAAGGCAGAAAGGTACATCCTAGAAAGTACCTCCCGTCTATCGATACAAGGAAGACCCCATTCTTCTCCGTAGGTTCCGACAAAGTCACTCGATTGCGTTGACCGCTGCCAGCCGCCAGCCAAAGTCCGCTGAGGGTGACAGCCCAGTCACCCCGTCCTGGGCTTGTCTCCTCGTCCCTTAGCGTGTCCCATCTGTCCCATCCCCCCCTCGCTCTAACGCCACTTTGCACCTGATCTCCATCCTACTGGGTAGGCACCTTGCTGCGTGGTGCGTAAGGCATTCGCTAGCCGGTCCCTTTACACGTAACTCCACCCATTGACACAGCACTAATGTCATTGCACCTCTCTCTCTTCCACCCACTCCGGCCTCGAAACTTCAACCTTCCTTTTCCTTACGACCACCCTTTGACCGACCATCTTTCACCTTGCCACTTTTTTTTCTCCCTTTTGTCAAATCACCTTCAAGTCAACCCTACGAAAAACCGAACCTAACACGATTTCTCTCATACGAAAGAGGAACACAAACCGTCAGAATGTTGTTGAAATCCCTCGCCGCCGCCGGCCTGGCGATTACGGCCACGCAGGCCTTCGTGGTGATTCCCGAAATCTCCGAAGCCGACAAAGACATCGTCAACTCCCTCCCTTTTGAGCAGCCCTCTTCCGCTATGGGCATCCAGAGCAAGCTCCTCAAGGTCGACTGCCCCGGCTGCCCCCTGACCATGAAACACCATGATGGCCGCTATCACACAATGACCAACATTGAGAACCACCTCGAACTCACCTTTTCCGTCGAATCCGACGCTGCCGGTGTCGACCACCTGCTCGTCAATAACTTCGAGCTCTACCCCAAGGCCTCGTCTTGGTACTCCGCCCTTCGCGCCCCTCAAATCCCCTCTTTCACCGAGGCCGCCACGAAGCATCCGCGTAAGACGGACCCCAACACCCCCCAGCTGGGTTACAGCTTGGGTGTCCGCGCTGTTGCCAAGGATGCCGAGCAACAGCTCGAGCTCGTCGAGATCGACCTCCAGATTATCGAGGTCGGCAACAGCTTTGTCAGTGACGTCCCCAACGTCAACGTCAAGCTCATCAGGTCCCCCACCGGCAAGCTGATGATTGCCTCCGCCGAGACTACGGAGACTTCGGCCCCCTCCCCCAAGGAGGAGGAGTCCAAGACTCCCGCCGACGAGACCTGCACCACTATCTACTGCAAGTGGCGTGCCGCCATCCTGAAGAACATGCGTGGAAAGAACTGCGGTGGCCGCAAGCACCATGGAATGCCCGGCCAGATGCGTCAGGGTCACCACGGCCACCACGCTCACCACGCTCAGAAGAACGGCCATTTCAGACAGCACCACCACACCTGGGGTCAGCTCGCTAAGAACATCACCTCGCACATTCTGCTCCCCATCCTCATCGGCATCGTTGCTGGCGTCAGCGTTAGCATGTAAGTGTTTCACCCCCTGCCGCATTCCCCGCTCTCCGAGTCGCGTGACCCTCTTTTTCGATTCTCGAGATCCGCTAACACGAAAACCTTCAGCATTGGCATGATGGTCGGCACCTTTGTCGTCTGCCTCTGGCGTGTGTTTGTCCGCCGCCAGCCCCCTTTCGCCCGCCGTCACTGCCGTCGCCGCTCCCGCAAGTCTTCGCACCGCGAGGCTGCCGCCGCGGAGGAGAAGTCCGGCTTGATGGCCGAACAGGAGGACCTCCCTCCCTACCAGGACAACGAGGACACCCCCAAGAGCGAGACCGAGACCGAGACGACTCAGGTCTAAGGGCACCACTCCTCAAAACCAATCGAATTGAACCAAAAAGAAACACTTGAGAGACCGAACTGATGATACCACTTTTCCTTATATGAATTTCCTTTGCTATTGCTTGTCTGGGGGCTCAAAATGAAGAAACCAAAAATACCACATACAACACACAACACACCATAAAGATTGGACATGAGAGTAAACCACACATCTCATTCGGAAGCGGCGTTTAGCGGATGGGGACGGAACGGGAAAGGGCTTTAAAGGAGGGATCGGCGTGTCTCGACCACGCACCTCCATAAATATCATAACATGGTCGGATGCTTTTGATCAAGTTTTAGGGCGGAACGTGTGCTGAATGCTACTGAGAACGGAACGGAAAGAACACACACACACTCTCACTTGGGTCAGCCATCGATATCAACCAAACACACCACACCATGAACTTTGAGATCGTATTCATAGGTCAAAAACTTTCCACATTCCTTCAATTGAGATGTTCTAGCGATAGCGGACTGTGCACATCGTGACTCGACTTTTGGACTGCGAAGACGTGGATGGCGCGTGAAGCGGTATACGGCTTTTTTTTTGAACTGAAGTCGCAACAGGCCATGTACTCAATCATGTGTGCCGTCCGTAATGCGGGTTGTCTGCGGATTTGTCGCTAGGGCGTGGCTACCCAGCCGGATTCGTCGGCTTATACCCCAGGCCAACGTTCCCCACTAAATGGATGCGTCGGATATTGCTTGTAATAAGTGACGAGAAATCCCGTCGCATGCTACGACGACCCGACATCCGGTTCGCGGCTCAGCGTGTCGGGGGCGCGTACGTGGCATACTCTCCGACATTCTGGTCGGAGGGATTGCGGTGATGTGAGGGGGATGACGGGCGTTTAGGGGGGTTGTTGTGCTTTTGTCGTTTGACTTTTGTGGCTGGTTACACTACACACGATGGGGTGTTTGGGGGTGTTTGGGGGTGTTTTTGGGTGCTGGTTTGCGGCCCCCCCCCCCGGTTTTGGATTCAGTTGTGGTGTGGTATCTGCTGTTGATTTACTGCTGGGATTCGAGCTTGTGAAGGTTTGATTATTGGTTGTTGTGGGTTTGTTTTTGGTTGTGTTGTGGGAAGTGGACATTGAATTGCGTGATGGCTGGGCGTTGAGCTGTACCTGGTTACCATTTACATTTTCGATATGATCACTAGTCTGCAACACCAAATACCGAGTATATGTTTTTATACATGGACATTGATTTCTGGAATCGCTGGTTGTGCATGGGTTGACTGAGATTATGGATAACGTGGATATTTCTCAATGCTGAATGCCTTTTACTGTAGTTTATGCTTCCTGCTGAATCGAGATGTTGATGCCACAAATGCTCAAGTGTCTTCACCAAGGGGGGTTGCTATGAACTACTGATTATTGTTGAGTTTATGAGGTGGCGGCACTGGTCAGCGTCGTGGTTTGCCTGTCAATCTCGTACTGTTCGTGGAGAGCATAATGTACTTGGTTGATACGAGCGCTTGTTTCTATATGGCATCCTCCTCTGCCAGAACCCCAATTACATGTTGAAGACATGGCATCGGAGTCGTGGTTTTGTTCGTAGGTAGCGATGTATGAATGGTTTACTAGGTCTCGATATGTAAACACATTTTTCCGCATCTATAGTTTTGTGAGGACTCGCTGAAAAAGATGAAGATAGTCAAAATAGATAGTATTCGCACACCATTTAAAACCCGTGAGTAACATTTTCACGCTCAGTTAGGTGTCGGATTGTTTAGTTGAATTCTGGCATATGTTGTTAGGCAACGATAGGCATTGTTTCGGCACAACAGTGTCGACGTGCTCCCACTGGTATCACAGCTACGAGTGAATGGCACGTTCTGTCCGGGAACGAAACGTTCTCTTTCTGCCCCCTTTTGCCTTTTGGGTTATCCACGTACGCATATAAGTATTGCAAAGTCCGGAGTCAATGGCTGTGGACAGGGAAGGCTTGTGGTGGTTAGCGTCGCCCAGATCAACAATTCTGAAATCAGTTCTAAGGTTCTTACTACAATGGCAAGGGTTGCTCTTCCGCTCAAATCTGCAATACTGCAAACTACTATGGTCAGGCTATCAAACTCAAACTTTATGATCCCGAGTACCATAGCATCCATAAATCTGAACAAGGAAAGCCTCGAGAGTGAATCTTTCAAATACCTTGGATGGTGGATGTGAAACTGACTACAGCCTCACAACCATGGCACATCATCAATGATTTTTGGCAACCTCTTTTAAGGCCATGATAATGGCATTTTGAAGTTAGCGGATTAGTTCATGCAGAGTCGCGCTTGTATATCTGCCATCGGTACGATCACCTATAGCTTCATGGATTGCCCTGTAATACGCCCGTAACTTGATGGATGATAATTATACAGCGGTGACATGTACACTAGATCAACTGAGTCACCATTCATTCTAAAGAAAATGGACAGCGAGTCCACTGGTTACACGACAAGATCATGACCTGATGATTCTACTACACAGTGGCATGGCGTGGAGCGCTCGAATAGACATGAAAGGGAGAGAATCTCATTCTTTCCCACCCTTCAAAGTGGTAGTACGAGTCTACAATGTCCAAAATGAGCAATCTATAAACACAGCTTGCTGAGAACGACATCCATTCTTAAGTTGATGTGTCACTGACGGCGACAGCCGTCCGGACTGGTCGTTCCGCCCTACCTCTGGTGTCTGTCATCAGCTGCAGACACGCACTTACACGCAGGCGGATCCAGATACGACCTTTCCAGGTCAACACTGATCGTATAGGATGTCATAGGAGGCAGTGACGTATGAAAAAAAGTTACATTCAGCCGCAAGACACCTCTTCCACGTGGCTTTCGAATCTGACGTATCTTGCTTTTATATCAGACGAGACGAATCCATCGTATGCTTATGAAGTGGCTGCAGATAGATGGGTTACCAAGAACGTGAGTCGGCAATCAGCCCGCATACACCGCAATAACTAGAAACGCGCATCCAGACAGGCTTCTAGAACCAGACGTAGACAAGGTGCGGATTACGGACTCAGTCCTGTGTCGCGCGTTCACCTATTCATCGTCTCGACACTTGTAATCCGCGCGCGAGAACAAACAATCTACATAACCTTATGAAATAAGCATAAGCAAAAGCGTGCCGTGGCCTTAAAGGATCCTGGACCGCTCAGTTGCCCCGCGAATGGCCCTTCCTTTTCCTTGGCTTCCAACGCTCGATATCCCAGTATCGCGATTCACATGTGTGCACCTTACAAATCAACAAAAATCTGACGTCAACCCCGTCAAGCGCCTTGACGCGCCGTAGCAGGTCGTGTGCGAGGCCAAAGTAACTGCGCTGCGAAGCGCTTAAAATAAATGCCATGCGCCACACTCACGGGGCCCGTCAACAAGGCCTCGGACACAACGAGCCATCGCAGATCCCGCGACTCGAGATACGAAAAAGACTACTCTCAAACAGCAACAAAAAACAACATCAACAACAACAACAACACCACCACCATTGGCAATGATCGACGGCTCCCCCCGCTGTACATATGGATCTGAGCACGCTGGGTTCTGTCCCCCCTACAGCAGCAGCAGCAGCAGCAGCAGCAGCAGCAGACGGTGCTACGGCTCCACCGCCGTAAGCCTCGTCGTCTGATGATGTCAACAAAAACCGTTTCACAAGTAAAAAAGAAAAAAAAAAATAGTCCTCAAACGGCCGCGAGCACGAGCACGAGCCGTACATCTGGAAACCAGACTTTTTTTGGCCTCGGGAAACGGCAAGGTCCCACGTTGCGTCTGGACCCGCGGCTCAGTGTGTGTGTGTGTGTGTGTGTGTGTGTGTGTGTGAGTTGTGTGTTTGTTTCGCGGTCGTAATGGGGGTATGAAAGCCGTCTTTGCGTGTCTGGATTGAGGTTGAGGCAGGGGGACCTGGACGGGGGCCAATTGCCAAACATGTCTGAGAAGAGACCAAAGTGAGGAGGGATGATTTTGTGACTTTTGTTCTTCGCCCCGTGGTTGGAATTAGAGTGATGACCCCGCTTAGAAACGAAAGTAGGGGTAGAGAATGAGGGCCGTTGAGGACGGCAGAGACGCCAAGGAGGTCTGTGGTGTGAAGTCGTCAGCTGTCATGTCGAACCTTTCTGTCGGGATTCTCGCCCTGCCGTGGAATGCGCGTGACAACATTGGAGACTGGCCGAGTTTTGCCCCAAGAGGACCGGCATGGCGTCCCTTGCTTCTCTACAGGTGATGGATGACTCGGTTGAGATGTTGCCTTCGTTGGACAATACTAGGTGTTCGACTTACCCTGTCGCTTCGGCGATGCATCTTGTTTTGCAGGAATATGAGAAGTGAGAAAGAATATCCAATCTTAGTTTAACTATCGATTTATCAATCTTATATCATATCTGTCGTCTAATGAGTCCAGATCCTCCGCCATTTATACCCGTTATTCATGATGCACCCGTAAATACTACAAATGAGCGATGCTGGGGATATCGTGCCCAAAAATTCATGCCGGGCAAGCATCGCGAATCTTTAAACTTTGCAGAGAAAAAAAGAAAAAAAAAAAAGAAAAAAACCACTTTCAACCATGTAACAAGAAACAATGTGCAACCAAAGACACTAAACAAGAAAGCATAATTAGAAAGCCACCATCGAGTCTGCGGGCTTGATGGAGTAGTAAATAGTCAGATAAGCTCCCTTTTTCTCGGAGAAGGCAAAGGAGATGTAAGAGTGCGTGCCGGTACCGCGGGACAAGTCCGAACGGGGGCTGAAGTGACAAGTCAGTATACATTACAGAGCAGCGGGAAATGGGCAAACTCACAAGCACTTGGGCAAGTCGCTCTCGTACCGCTCAGCCACAGGCCATCCCCTTGAGCGGAAGGCCTTGGCGAGGTTGGCGGCGATAACGGTGTCGTTGTCAGCATACTGCCACAGAGGCACGTATGACTTGACCTCGGGCCATTTGGAGCCCGGCTTGAGCTCGAAACCGTAGCAGATGCCCTTGTGGAGGGTCTCCCTCATCTTGGGCGCCTTGTTGAAGTCGTCGGCATACGGCTCCGGCTCGTTGTGGAGGAAATGCCAAACGCTACGCATCTCCTCAAGACCCTTGAGGGTGGTCGCGTCGTTGATCTGTCCTCCGAGGGTGACGACTTGGCGGACCACGTCGAAGGCGTTAGACTCTGTACGCGCGTAGACCTTGGCGCGGGCACCAGCGGCAGGGTCAATGCAGTCCAGGGCGATCATTTCGACGGGAATAGGGAAAGGAGCGTTCTTGAAGTATTCCTCCGTGACATCAGCGGCTGCCGCAAGACGCTCACCGCCGGGAGAGAGGGAGCGGATGGTGTTGAAAGTGATTGACTCAGTAGAGGCGCCGGTGGCGATGTGCTTGAGAACAGGAAAGAAGTAGGTCTTGAAGACGGCCTTGCTGCCGTCGAGATCGAATGCCAGGAAGGCGGTAGGCGCGCGGTGGCCTGGGCCTAGCCTCTGGAGAGCGATCTTTGACTCGGCTTCGTCGAGGAAGAGGGCAGAAGCGAACTGCTCAAACCACCGCGTGTCGACTCCATGACCGAACATCTGAAGGGCAGGAAGAAGAGCGGGAATCATCTTTTGGGCGAAGGGGTCTGACTTGGTACCGCCATGGCGGCCGAGAGGCTCGAACGAGAAGCGGATGGAGGAGGACCCAGAGTCGGTGATGTTCCATGACGGCTCAAAGGGTGAGCCGTCGGCCGTCAACAAGGGTTTTGTGGGAGCGTTGGAGGGACGGGGACCCAGAGACGGGATGATGAGCTCAGAGAGAAGTTGGAGGTGGGCGGCGCGCTGGGCAGGTGTGTAGGAACCAGAAGCCCGCATGAGACCATCCAGAGATTCAGCGCAACGAATGGCCCAGAAGTCCTGGTCGGGCTTGTGGATGTACAGGTTATCTTGTCCTGGGAGACAAAGGTCTTGTTCCTGCTTAGCCAAAGTCTTGGGCGACAGGATCTCAGCCTGGCTGAATGACATGGGCGACCTCAAGGCCCTAGGGGAAAGAGGCATGGGGAACGATGGCCTGCCGGAGCTGAAAGACGAGGCTGCCATGGCGGGTGCCATTGTTACGGTTGGGTGAGTAGGATGGTCGGTTTAGAGGATGGTTTGCGAAGAGTTGCCAGATCGGTTGGGCGCAAGTTGGTGCAAACTCTGGAGAGTGAGGGACGATGTCCAGACGTTATATCTCTAAGTCTTTTTAGGTCCCTTAAAGATACAGGCCGTTGGCCCCAGTTAACTTAAAGCGTCCCCTCAAAGACTGATCCTGAAACTGGCTGTCATCGCGCAGGTGACTGGGTCGTTACGACCTGCCGGTGCTCTGCAGGGTTGACGACAACCCCAAGACGCGTGACGATGTTGAAGCTGAGGCTAAGGGGCCAGCATCTGGACCCTGCCAAGGGCGTGGCAATCCGGAATCGCATGGCAGCCACCACCGAGGGAACTTTGGGTAATGACCGAATAAGGGAAGCTTTTAGGTTAGTTTACGGGTACGACGTCCGCTGTCAGGTCGAAGCATGGAGCCACCGCGGCGTCCCCCAACTCGCATGGAGATGCGATTCTTTGGGCCTCTCTAACGGACTGCCATATTGGGAAACACATAGAGAAAGGTTCTCCGCTTGGGTCGGTGGTGGGGCCCGGCGGCGTCAATCGGGAGAGAGACTGGGGGTCATAATGGGGGAAAGCACAAGGGGGACGGGCCTCTGTGGGGCCCTTGGGTACGGCAAGCCCTTCGTAATCGGGTCTGTTCTCTTTTAGACTTGGCTACTGAGCAGTTGTGGCTTGCAAGGGTTGGAGACAGTTGTATGACGGCAGAACGAGGCGAAAACAAAACAAATTCTTTGTCAAGATGGTGTCGATGAAGCAAGGCAATCTGCAAGCTGCAAGCTGCGCGTTTACACATGACACTTGGCTTGGATATCTGCAGGGCAAATTGAGTATGAGTGCAGCGAGCACAGTCGTTTGTCCCGAGCAGTAGGACCAAAGCCAAGGCCGCAGAGTCAGTGGGTCGGTGAGGCGCAGAAGTCGCAGAAACGCCGTCTAACGCCGTCCTACACAGTAGCACCTTGGTGCTGTCTTGGCAGGAAGTCGACGGAAATGAATCGTGGTAGACTTTGGAGCTTTGGTCGCATCACTGACTTCCAAGGAAACTGGGCTGAGGGAACTTTTTTCGGACTCCCGATATGACGGTGTCCTTTGAGACGGGAGGGGGGTGTGTGTTGAAAGCTTCGAAACCTGGTTTGTGGAAGTGTTGATGATGAGATGAAAGGCCCACAATCTCGGGCATTGTTGGACCGGGGACATGTGAGGGTAGAGTAGCATGGTGGTGGCTTCCGCGTGGTGTCGCGTCAGACGAGGCCATTCGGTATCGGAAATCAATTCGCTTTTGCCATCCTTATGCGCAGAGGTTGTTAACATGAATAGCCATGGTTGAAGCCATGTTGTTTGAGCTTAGGTTGCGGAAGCCTCGGAGTCGGCAGGTATGCTATGCAGAAGCCAATTGCGGCTGTCAAACATCTTGGCTTTGAACTGAGTAGTGTTAGGAGAACGGATTATAGTTGAGCAACTGAAATAGGCTTTTGGAGCGAGGAGACTTTATTCCAAGAAACGTAGTTTAAATGAATCGATGTGTGTAGCCTAATAGTTCAAGGTGAGGAGGTGGCAGACAGTGAAGTACACACACGTTGAGGAAGAAATATGTTTAACGCTCTGAAGAATTCAAGTGACTGGATAAATCAGTAATACTGCAGGGCCTTGGTAGTCCTGGATTTACGTCTATAGTCGAACATGATACGCCTGAGCATTTCTTCTCTGGTGATCTTAGTCTGTATCCATGTTACCGGCATGAATTAACGAGATATCCGGCGAGCAGGAAATTCAGATGTGAGTGATCTGATGGTTGCACCCAACTGTTTGTTTCTTCGTCCAGACTCCAATAGAACGAAGAAAGTGTCGAAAATGGAACGCTCAAGAATGAGGCCACTTCGTTTCTCGGAAGTAGGCGAGGTTACGCGCTGCCACCCTGCACAACGGAAGCTTGCGCTTGGGGAGATTCGCCTGCAAGTGACATCACCTGTTGCTGTTCATTGTGCGATGATCCGGCGAGAGGGTCCTAAAGATGACATACAGAACATGAGATCGAATGCTATGACAGTCTGTGATTTTCAAGACCATGTCCCATATTCGGTGAAGACCAATGCTGTAGGCTGAGTGAGGGTCGGAAGTGGTGCATCTCGAAGATTTCATGCTGTTGCACCGAAGTCCAGACCAGAGGACCGAGCTGCCAGCATACCCCATGTTTCCTAGGGTGAGGGACGTCTATCTGTGGGCCAATCAAACCAGTTGCACAAGAGGGTTCTGGAGCTTATGCAAGGGTTATGCAGGTGGACCTCCAATAATGAAGTGCTAGACTACTTAGTCATAAAATTATCCACCAATCTGCATCTAACAACCACACGAGTTAGCATTCGTAGTGTAGTGGTTATCATCCCAGCCTTCCACTACCTGGGCTAGCTGGGGACCGGGTTTCGATTACCCGCGAATGCAATTCTTTTTTCATTTTTTTTTTTTTCTTCCTCACCTAGCTGCCAACTCTGACTTCAGCGGTCTTCTTTTAATGTTCTTCTGGCATCAGTTTACATATCTCAGAAGGGTTTGATGTGTGTTACGATGATAATTGACCGTTCGGCACCATCCGCAACTCTGTTTGCTATGAGCACCCGCTTGGTTCGCGACCGCCTCATCTTCCAAAACCCTTTACAAATTAGCCATCAGCCACAACGTTCTTTGCATGGTCCATAAGGCGAGCAAGCAGTTTTGACAGGTGCATGTAAGTGTCAGACTCTACACAACCAGTGAGACAAGCATACCACTTTCTGCCTAGACTTCTTGCCTCACACCGAGGATAAATCGAGCAAGCAAATATATATGCAAACAACCGTCAGGCTCTCAACTGAATACGGGCATTGACATCCCGTTAGTAGGTCGATTGCAGGGCCCCAATGTCTTTGCCGATTGAGGACCATCACCTTTGTCCCCGCCTGTGGCGGAATCAAGCAGTGCTTGAATGGGGCATGACGCGTTTGTGTTGCATTTCTTTGCCAGTTCGCTATGCATCACGGTGCTTTGATGCTGGATTATCATGAGAGCGTCAGGATGAGTGACACACGCACACACCGCCAAATGCAGCCATCCGAGGTACGGCCATGGGTTTTTTTTTTTTTTTTTTTTTTTTTTTTTTTTTTTTTTTTGCAAGCCTGCAATTATTTGCCTGCATCTTAGCAGCAGCGGCAGTCTAAGCTATCTGGATTGCTGTTTGTTCCTGTCGTGAGCGAGAGGCAGGGAGGGCCCTTTCCCAGCTTTTTAACCATGCTCATTCTCCATGCTCTCTCCAGTTTTCTCCTTCCTATTCCGTCTTCAACATCATCTCTACCAACCTCTATGGCAACCCACTTCAAATTATGACAGGCCATGGCTCTCTGACTCCTACCCTCCCTTACTACTATTGAAAATCGATTTTTCCAACTCACCCACCGCCAAGACCCTTCTCAGTGGCAGTGTGCTTCCAAATCAATGAGCAACTGCCACCACCAGGTCATGGCTGCCCGTGCTCTGGGGTTCCCGTTCGTCTCATGACGTTTGCCTCAGAGTTTTCCCCTTTTTTCACAATTTATAATCTTTGAACTGCATCTGACCGAGGTTGGAGTCTCTCACCCCGCGCTGACGAATAAACGAACACCGGCAATCACCAGACCACCGTCACCAGCCTCATCGATAGGCGTACCTCTCTGGGGCCGAGACAGCTTAAGCTCCTTGGCGCGCGGGAAGGCCGCGTCTCCTTACTACTGGGTCTTTGGGGACCGTTCCCATCGATTCTTGCTGCAGGACGAACCGAGACGTCGCGGATGCCTCCTGGCTGAAGCATGGTGGAACATGGGGTTAGTCGCTAGAGCACAGGTCTGAACCGCACCAGCCCAGTAAGTTGAGACGAACTCCCATTCTTGCAACACCGTGACTTACCATTCAATGTTGCAGGTGTTGATTCAGACAACGAGTTCGAGTATGGCTTGCCGTAAAGTTATGGGGCGGTTCCAGCGAGGCGGTTCCTATGGGGTGGTTCCAACTCAGCCGCCTCCTACCCAGAGATGCATCAGGCGGATGATGAACCTGGCTCCGTATTTCTGGACGACAATGTCTGGTGTGTTGATACGGCGATGCTACAACGGTGTTGAAGCTATGTTGCTTAGTACCAGGATATCGAACACACGTAGTGTATCGGGTCTTGACGTCATGCTTCAAGCCGCCTTCGCACGGGGTAGCAGTATTCTATCGCCGTACTCCCGCTATCTGGAACATTATGTAGGTTTATCATATGAGAGTACAATGTCGAAAATTGGCTAACCACCATTGGTGTAGATGTTCGACTTCACATTGGCTGCCTTTATGTTATTGGGTTCTGAGGGTCTTTACCCTTTAAGAGCCTTCGCAACCCAATTCAACTCTTCAAAACCACCCAGCAGAGGCGTCAAATGCGTGGTATATCCCCAGATTCGTTACACGGTTCAGTAGAACTGTAAAATCCTCGTTTATATCAGATTGAACACCTGGGCTCTATGTTCTCCTCATATCCTATCTCAATGGGGCGGTACCGAATTGCTTGCATGTCCTTCGGCCTGCCATCTCAGCGCACTCGTTGACGTTGTGCAATCATTTCACCGTGCTACAACGAGGCCGATAACAATGGATGTCATCGTCATTGTCAATCCCAACACCGCCATAAAACCGGACAAAGGCCAGCTTAGGAACCATGTGCTTGCAGTCGAGTACCCAGCGCATTGCTGCGCACCAGCACGTATTAAACCAACCATGAAACATCATCGACATGGAAGCTTTGCTCTGCAATCAATATCTTTATTGCCGTTCTCTTCCAGTCTTGGTGCCGCCTTGCATGTCAGATGGTTTCCGATTACGGAGTGTATCTTCACTCTTCCAAGTGTCCTTCATGAGCTGGATGGACACAACACTATGGATCAGGCTCCCTGCCTGCCAGAACCCTTCTACTCCTATGT